GGGAAGTTGTATTGTCACGCATCTTGTGTTTGGACATGTTGGTCCCAAGTTCGTTTCGAAGCCTCCTCCAGCCACCCTTTCAGGTGAAGCTGCAACTTTGCGGTGTCTGTTGCGGAGGGGATCCAGACATGCCGAGATTAAATGCTTGTCAATTCTGGGCACGTCGCTTGGTACGACTTGCCCCGACGTACTTCCTGACGAATGCCATCGGTGTGGCCTTGAAAGCAGCTTTCTCGACAGAGGAGTTTGACAATTTCACGGCTTCCCAGTACGTGCAGTCTGTTCTCGGCTTGACTTCCTGGAGCTTTGTCGCACCTGTTGGTAATGGCTTGACATGGACGATATCGACGATGCTTTTCTTCTACCTCTGTTTCCCTGTTCTGGGACCCGCCGTGCAGCGTGTTCCACTCGAGGGCCTCCGGGCACTCGCATGGACCATGTACGCACTGCAGGGGCTGCTGATGATGCTCGGCTATACTTTCGACACACCGGGTTACTGGATTCGAATGTGGCCACCAGTGCGACTGCCCATCTTCGTCATGGGCATATGTGCCGGGCTGTCGCGGGTTCGCGGGGAGCAGCAGCGAGCAGCCCAGGCTGATTCGTGCCAGACACCAGTGAGCCGCAGGGATGTGCCAGTGGAAGTCGGCAGCAGGTGGGGCGTCGAGGCGTGTCTTCCTGACTGGGTATGGGTGCTCCTCTGGACTGGACTTACTCTCTATGGCACCACGATCACTTTTCTGTGCTCCACAAACATCCCCTTCCGCTTTACCCTCGAGGTGGTGTTCCCGATGATCTTCTACGAGTTCATCCTCGCGATCACGAGCCCCACTGCCGAAGGTGCTTGCTTGGTCCGCTTGTGCCGCTCCAAGCCCATGCGCTTCCTTGGTGACATATCCATGTGTGCCTACATGGTCCACGTGCTGCTTGGTGAAGCGTTGGGCTATGCGACGGGAACGCACATCGGTGCATGGCCTTGGTGGACACCACTGGCAGTTCTGCCCAACGCGATTTTGCTGGGCTGGATGCTGACGGAGTTCTTTGAGAAGCCTATTTCAAGGTGCCTCCGGCCAGACAAGCACGCCGCCCACCAAAGTCCTGTAAGCGAGGAGAAGATCGAGAAGGAGTCGCGTACACCAGGCGCCGAGGTCCTAGGATCCCCGTCGCCGGAGGGGTAAGTCAACCTGCGGAATGCACGCCAGAGATCGCCAGAGTTGCAGAGAATGCGCAGTTTCCCAGCGCCTCCCACAGTGTGGCAACGGTCGGCAGCCATGGGATTTTTGCCCCCTGCAAATCAAGACGTCAATGCAATGGAAATCTAGCCTGCAAAGGGCAACTCGGCCAACTGGCGAACACACAATGTAGTGGAAAAGAAAGAAGAACCGGAACACCAATGTCGCAGTGACGGTCTGACGACCATACCAGGCCGATGCAAAGCGCAGGATACTGAAATGTTTATAGTGGTTAACATTTACTTAACCATACTTAACCAGTGCCAGAC